CCCCAAAACCCCAAAACCCCGATTAGCTGATTTCTTATATTAATGATTAAAAGGAATGAATATTCGATCAACAATAATATAATATTAATAAGAATAGAAATGCAATAGTCAAGTCAGTCTCAGCAGCAGTAGCAGCAGCATTATAGACTAAGTTCTTAAGACTACTCATCTTTTCATAACAACACTATAACTGATGAAAATGCCCCACTTACTGATAGAGGCCTGCTTATTAGATAAAATCTTGAATCCTCCAGAAATTCTTAGCTTGATAAGAAAAATCCTACGAAGGAAGAAATGACAGTGACTGCCGAGCCTTAATCTCAGAATGCTGGAGGTATAGTTGATGCGAGATTTTCAACTTAAGGTGGATTCTCTAGCAACATAATCTTTCAAAGCTAGTATAATGCATTTTAAAACTAAGGTCCAAATATGAATGCCTAAATCATCAATAGTATAAGCAGAGAAGCAGAGTAATTTTTACCCAATAAAAACAGTGGCACAGCTGGCAATAATACCTCTCAGGAGTACAAGAAAGACAATTCTTTGTAATAGTAATCACAACAATAGGACTAACAGCTTCAAGATTCAATGAGTAGTCACAGTCTTGATCATTCAAACCATAGTAAGAAAAAGGAAAGCGATGTGCAATTGTATAATGTTGAAGCACCAACAATAAAAACAGCAAAGACAATGGTAGAGTCAACTCACATAAGAAAATTTCTGTTTTCTAGTGCATTCAGAATGTGTATTCTAGATGTTATAATTGTTGCTTGCTGTGTGATGGACTCTGAAATTAGATGGTAATCTAAAGAGCTCTATGATGATGTATTCTACAATCAATATCTGAATCCTTAGTTTTACATAGTGAACCTTCTAAGAGTGATCAGCTTAGGATGCGTCATTGCTACTGTCAAGTACACTCTTATGTGGTATGATACCAATATTAAGAAATTGAGATAAAGGAATAAACTTTCACAAAGTGCTGCACTACCATTGAAACTGCGAATCAAGTTCATCGTTGAGATAAGCGTTTGTCTTATTCATATACCCCCATTTGCTGATATTGGATGCAAAACATTCAATGAAAAGCAGTATTTAGATTATATAACCATAGCCGCTTTTGCCAAGTTTTACATCTTTATTCGCTTGATGAAGGAGAAGAGTCCTTTGAACTCAAACTCAGGTAGATTTATTGGATCATTCACCAATATTGAGTTCACCGATTTATTCTATATCAAGACTTGGCTAAAGGATAATCCCTTTTAAGCTATGTTGCTGGCTGTGGGAGCATTATTGTTCTCATGCAGTTATATGGTATACCTTGCTGAGAGAAGATACCCTATAGATTGTACTGATTTTTCAGGGAAGTTTTCAACATACTTCAATTCTTTATGGCTTATCATAGTTACTGTATTTACTGTGGGCTATGGCGAGCTTGCTCCCTTAACTGATCTCGGTCGAGCTATCGCAATTACTGCTGCTTTATGTGGTTTAATATTATCAGCTACTCTCATTGGCCTAGTTCATCAATACCTAACATTGAATAATGATGAAGCCAATGTGTTGAAATTTATAGCTGAGCACTCTCGAATCAAGGAATATTAAGAGTGTGCATTAGATGTTATAATGTAAGCAATCAGGATATTTGTGGTGAAATCCTAAAGAAATAAATCTCAAAGAAAGATTTAGCAAGCTCTACTGGATCTAGACGAAAAAATAAATAACTTCAGATAATAGAGATCAAAGTCCCCTGATCGTTTTGCAGCAAAGGGTGCACTCTCTACAATAGAATATCAAGTGAATATAGCTTATAGTACTCTTAAGATTATAAGTGATCACTTGAGTAATAAAAAGATTATTCTGCTAGACAATTCAATGCAAGCAAAGAAATTTATGCTTGAATAATCAATGTCAATGGTAAATGGGCAGCAGTATGCAAACTAAAATTATGCTAATCAATCAAATTTGAACCTATAATCAACTTCAAGGCTTGGGAACTTCCTAAAGCCTAATAAAAATGACTTATCTATAATAAAGAATGATGCTGGTACTCAGACATTTGAGCCAAGGAGATCAACTATTGTACATAATGTAGTGAGAACCTGTGGTTGCAGATGCAATTGCAATGGATAAACTACTGTTACTCTTAATTTGCAAAGCAATAATGAAGTGAGAAGATAGTCTATCAATTAAAATGATAATATTGATGGAGTTATCAATAACAGCTATACTAATTCTAATGAAAACTCTGTGTCTGAAGATAACAACATGCAGATGTTTGAAGCGTAGCAAATAGCACTTGGAGAGTTAGGAGGATAAGCGGGTCTTTAAAATCAAAGCACTGCTACATAAGAAGTAAAAGAACTAAGGCAAATAGTCATGCAAAGAAGAGAAGATATTGAGAGAGTGTTTCAAAAGATCAAGGATATGGAAGAAAAAATGAATCAATTTATGACTGAGATCATGGATCTCTGATCTATTCCTCTAAATACTAGGCTAAATTTATTTCAATTGATGATTATAACCTTGATTTCATAAAATGTCATAAATTAAGAGGCTAGGGGTTTTGGGGTTTTGGGGTTTTGGGG